GGAAGAGAGAGGGAAAGACAGAGAGAAATATCAATGTGAGAAAAACACATTGATTGGTTGCCTCCTGCACACACCCTGACCAGGGTCCAGGTCATGGAGGAGCCTGCACCAAAGTGCATGCCCTTGACTGGAATCAAACCTGGGACCCTTCTGAGCCAAACCCACTGACCCAAACCGGCTAGGACGTGACTTGTTTTTGAGAACACAAAAATAGAAATAATAGACATATACAATGTACAGGGAAAAGTGTAACTTAGGTTCCGCACCCAGAATTGCAGCATAATTATTTCTCCCCCCCCCCCCCCAGAATTTGATAGCCTTGGATTAATCATCCTCAATATCTGCAGACTCAAAGAGTTGCTTTTCCTACTGGAGGACTTAAAGGTTACCTTCCAGTTGTTGCCATCAGAAAACAGCTCTGCAATTAAAATTAAATATGTGCTGTTTTGAACTTTTCCATGCTTTGGTGGTTATTGGTTCAGGATTAAATCCCAGGAGTGGGATAATGAGGACAAAGGAAATGAACCTTTTTATTGCTCTTGCTTTATATTGCCAAATTACTTTCCAGTAAGGAATCATGCCTACTTACACTGAAGAACAATCTGAAATTTAGCCCCAAGGAAATGCATACAGATCTTGCCTGTCTCAGTTGCTGGTTTTAATTTTCCCATTCTGCAGTGGCTTGTTAATATTAGTTCTGACCTTTGGGGCAAGGTGAACACATGGTTAGCTTGAAGAGAAAAGGCTCTGGGTGGCTCGGGAACTTCTTTGGCAACTACAACAGCTGATATTTCAACAGAGCACACACACACCCCTCTTACCAAGGGTACTTCCCCAGCCTTCCCAGGGAACCAACGGAAGGCTCCAGGCTCCCTCTTTGACGCCACCCACTGGACCTGTTTGGGGGGTCTAAATAGAAGAGGACTGCGTGTCGGATAGTTACCAATGGAAGAAAAAACCTCTAAGAGAACAGGTAGGTGAAACAGGAAAAAAGAGTTACACAAATCCAAATCCGTTCTTTAGGCTGTCTGGAAAGTTTTGGGTTTTTTTTATTTGCATAGGTGGCCACTTGAAATGTGCATTAAAGGGTGTGGGAGAGTTGGGGAAAAGATGATATCTGTATCTATTTATAGATCTATCTATTTATCTATCTGTCATCCTTCTGATCTGTGTTTGTGGGACCCTGGCCCAAAAAGTCTCTCTGATTTGGTCTACTTCAGTTTTGAATGAACTGGGTGATAGAGATTATGTCTTTTACTTCCCCCAGTGTATGAGGTAGGGCTGGTTTGCCCTGGCACTTGGAACAAGCCTTTTAGCTTCTCTGGGCTTCAGTAGCCCCCTCAACTAAAATGGAAATTGAAGTTTCCTCAGAGGACTGTCTCTAGGTGAAGAGGAGTGGAAGGACAGGAACCAGAGCTATTTAGAGATATTTCAGGACTTCTATGCACTATGTGACATTAGTGATACTGCTTTTTCTGCAGTTTTGGCAGGCAATACAACTCACAACCCTCTTTCTGCTCTTCTCCCTGCGTGACTGTGGTCTGTGAAGAGCCACTCCTAAAACTAGGATGCAGTGAGCCTTGGACCCAACACATGGGGCTGAAAATAGTGGGAGATGGTGGGCCAAGGCAGTAGCTAAGAAAGAAGACGATCCTAGACTGCCGCCGCAGAAGACCTGATACTTATATATAGGCACCTGACCTGTAAGCATGTGGCCAATCTCCCCTCTGCACCCTAACCTCCCACAAATGCATTCACACCCACACGCTTCAAGAATTACCAATAGGAAAACCCCATTGGTGATTTTGTTACCCATCCTTCCTCTCTTGATACTGCTTTTAATGAAATTCTCTAATATATCTCATACTTTGGGAGGATGGTCGGGATCGGTGGGCCTCAGGAAGTCGCACTGTGTTCTTTTCTTCCCCAGAATTTACCCCATTTTAGAATTTGTAGCTCAGCTTTTGGTCTTGAGTAAGTCTCTGATATTGAGTGAACACTTCTTTAACCAGTTAATTCGACCTGTTCATGGAGGACTTCCTTCTTTTATGTATTCTGTTCTGCCCCATTCAAGGTTGATAAACTTTCCAGATGCCACTTTCTATCTTCAGACCAAGTTAGTTCCTCCACCCAGGACCCTGCATAGCTCTCTGTATAACATTTTCCTTGTTTGAATGGGTATTATTTGTCCACATATTCATCTCATCTAGGGCAAAGAGATGTAGATTGTACAAACGCTCATTGAGCAATTGTCTCCTCTGTGCCAAGGCCTTAGCTGGACACTGGAAACACAGATTACAGATAGCTGAGATCCCGTTCCCATTCTCATGGATCTCACAGTCTAGTAAGGAAGCAGACCAGTAAAAACACAGGTGGATATTTGCTCAGATAGACAGAAGCATATAGTTAATATGATAACCAAAGACAAAATCTGCCCTGAGGATACAGGAAGGCTTCCCAAGGAGGCAAACATTGAACCAGGCCTTGAAGAGTGAGTTGTATTTTGTTGAGAATGGAAGGGAAGAGAAGGCATTCCAGGCTAAGCAAAGACTGAGGGAATAAAAAAAAGTACATGGTATGTTTTGGGGCTCAGTGAGTCAGCCAGTGCAGTTTAAGCATGGGGAGAGGGCCAAAGAGATGCATGACTAGAGAGGTGGGTTAAGACTTGATTGACAAGATCCAAGCTGAGGCCTTTCCATGAAGCTTGTTTAATTCTCCTGCTTCTGGGACCAGAATTGATAACAGTGGTAAAAATAAATTAATAGCTAATCCCAGGCCATTTTAAGCTGGGTTTTCAAGATTGGACCCTAGGTTTACCATTTCAGACCTTGCCAAAAGCCCGATAGTCTCCTATATCAGATTTCCTACTGCTAAAATTATCTTTCTGCCTCTTGGCAGGATCATGAGGACAAAATTATAAACAGAAGAAGGCTCATGTTACTGGCTCAATTACCTTGGACAAGCCCCTTCCCCTCCCTAGACCTCAGTGTCCCTGAGGCTAGTGAGAGTATTTGTAAGGAGCAACTAGGATAAGGAATATGTTGCTGCTTTGTGGGCCATGGAAAACATACATGTAAAAAGTTATTAAGATTATTAGCATTAGCAGAGTGATATTTATTAAGAGACTTTTTAGGATTAAGAGAGTTACATATCTTTCAAAATCTAGTTATGAGAGTCTAAAGGTTCTAAGCTTAATGTGGAAGAACACATTCTTAAATCAAGCTAGATTGATCAATTAACCAATGAGAAGCCCTGGACTGGGAGAAATATGGTACCCAGTGTCCTACTCCTGACTTATTTGCTACAGGACCTTAGGAAAATACTTCCCTCTCTAGGCCTCCAGTTTCTTACCTGAGAGGGTTGGATGAAACAATTTCTAGGGGACTTCACAAAACCAAAAATGTGACAGTGAATTCATCTTTCTAGTTGGTTGGCAGGAGCTCTTTATTTATTATAAATGTTAATCCTTTGTCTTAATGTTATAAATTTCCTTTATTGAGTATTTCCTGTTTGCTCAGCATTACATTTGCCAAAGACATGACTGATCATTTACTTCACAAAATGAATCACACGGTGTTAGGTGATATATATTGAGCATTTCCCAGGTTGCTTTACATGTATGAACATGCTGAACCTTACCAGGTGAAAAAAACTGAAGCATTGAGAAGTTGCCTTCTGCCTTGGGTCTCATGACAAGGGGCAGAGGTAGGAGTCCACTCGGGTAGTATGGCTCCAAGAGCCTGTTGCTCTTCACCACTGTGATCCACTGCTTCAGTAGATCCATTCACATGGGCAGGCTCTGAAATGTATTGAAAGTTTATGATTTATAAACAGCAACTGGAGGGGATCTAACCCTTGTGTAGAGTAGGACACTGAGAATGTACTTCAGGGAATTTCTTAAAAGGCGAAGTGGAGCTAAGAGCAGGGGTTGGAGATTTCTATTCCCAGGAGATTGCCCCTGTATAGCCCAGCTGAGTGGAAGAAAGTTGAGCTTCCTTGTAGCCAATCACAAGAGGTTCATCAGGGGGTGGGAAGGTTGCAAAATAATGAAGTAAGAGCACACTTGGACACCTTCCAGGTAAGCTGTGCCTTTAGATGAATTCTACACATAAAAGCCTCACTACAACCAGGGGGAGATGGAGGGTAAAGTGGAGACATCTGCGTGGGATGTCCTACTTTGAGTTCATTGCTCCCTATTGCCCACACTCAGCCTGCTGCAGACTGCACCCTAAACCTCCATGCCTATGGGTTGGCACGAGGAACTTTTGCCAGGTTTTGAATCAGATCACATTGCCTTTCTCCCTAGGGCACCCAATGGCTGCTGGCAGCCATGTGGGCAGTGCTTGCCATCTCTCACACAGCAATGGCTGCATTCGTTCCTATTCCCAGAGGTGTCAGGTTTACTCCTATATATTTAGCCTTGGCTGGAGAGAGCATAAAGATGATTAGATGGTGCCCATCTCTCCAAGACTGCCCCAGACAGCACATTTTAGGAGGAGAAGCTCTGCCACAGGAAAGTCAGCAGAATTGAGGGGAACACAAGTGTTGCAATGCCATTTTGTATGAGAGGGTGGGGCAGTAAGGCAGTGAACCTTCCACTTCCAGTTTGGACCTTCGATTGCTAGATCAAAACATTGCATTCGTCAGTAGGGACTGTGTGTGTTCGTACTTGGGAACCTTGCATTTCTGATGTGGATCTCTGTTTCCGGGTTGAACCTTGACATTCTACTTGGGCCTGTATTTTATTTCAAAGCTGTGAAAGCTGTTGAGACCTGCCTCCATCACCTTTGCCTCCCCACCTTGCACAGGATGTAAGCACATGATCTTTGGTCTTTTATTTGCATACTCTACTAGTCCTGTCTTCATTGGAGGGAGGTGACTGGCCCGACCTGGGCTGTCTTGCTGGCCGCCCTCCTTTGCTGGAAGGAACTTATCTCCTATGTACACAGCTTTTGGAGTTCAAAGGCCTCTACTGACCTCTACCCAACCTCTCCCTCTCTGCACCCAAGTCCCCACTGCTACATACAGGACCAAAGGCAGGCAAGGACTAGGAAAAAGGAGAGGAGGCTGGAGACAGGCTGCCAGAGGGCTCAGCTCACTTCCCTGTCCCAACGCTGTCCACCTACTGCTGTGGCCACAGCAACAGAAGAGACAGTTAGCAGGACAGGAAGTGAGGCCCGGTACCTTGTGGACAGTGGTGTCATTAGCTGTGACATCTAAGATGTCTCGAGAGATGGAAGAGCTCACCCAAACAAGGTTACAGAAGATCTGGATTCCACACAGCAGCGACAGCAGTGGGCTGCAACGGAGGAGGGGCTGTAAGTGGGGTTTGCTTCCATGAACTTCAAGGTGGTGGTGGTAAAGTGGGTATAGAAGAAGAGCAAAGGACATGCTGCCCCTATATACCCCTATATATACCTGGAAGTTGGAATTGATGAACAGCTGGATAAAGTAGCTATAACATAGCAAGAGGCTAATGTCAGAGAAGGTAGAGAGAGAATGAGAAAAGGACAAAAAGAGGTAAAGACAGATAGAATGAGGATTGGGTCAAGACCACTTAATCAGAGGGATTTTTGACTAGGAACTTTTCTTTCTCCTCTCAAGCTTACTTGGAATGTTTCTTGCTTGAAGTTTGACATTTCTAGTGTGGAACCGCTCAGTGCTTAGCGGAGAATGTCTTGTTTTGGTGACCTCGGTGAAATGTCTGAAATTGGTCCCGTCTGATAGTGTGTGGGTGAAATAAGGTTATGGCTCCTAGAATAGTTTCTCAGGGCACAGGTGCTGGGTACACCACAGTACCATATCATTGGTCAGTTTTGCTCCTCCTCTTTCTCAAGCCTCTTCTAATAGATCTATACCTGACTGGGCTGGGAAAGGCTGGGTGTCCTGTCTCCTACGTTGCCTTCTTGACACATATGGACACTTTTTGCTGCTCTCGTCAGAGAGAGAAAGAAGACAGTCTTCTCGGGGAAAGCCTGTTGGCATATTGTTCACTTTGAAATTTTAAGGAAACAGAGGAGCAAGGGAGAAGCAAATGAAACCTGTAAAACTATTTGTAAAAAACTGGAGTATACCATTTCCCATAGATAATAGAGGACAGTGTGGACAAAGTGCTTCCAGCTCAAGGATTATGGCCTGAGGAGCCATAAGGTGGGCAGAGATAAGACAGCTGTGGACTGTGGGACTGAGACAACTCAAGGACCAGCTGACCAAGCTTCCATTATGCTGATGCTGCAGGAGGTCCAGGGTCAGGGCTAGTGAGAGGAAGGGTAGTTGCTTAGAGCATCCAGGAAGATGTAGGATGTTAAATATAGTCTGTAAGATGTAGGACATAGATGGAAGAAGAAGAGCAGAAGAGGGGGAAACCCAGCCTCATGTTTTCCTCTCTCTTCCTTTTCACCAGCAGTTTCACTCACTCATTGGGAGATCTAGGAACCTGGATGAGACAGACTTGCATCTCACCCTCACCTACCTGGACAGTCTTGAACCTTTCTAAGGGGCTGTTGGGTTTAGGTGGCATGCAGGCAAGCTGCTCTCTGCATACCTGGGTTCTCCAGAATTAAGACCCTTATATTACTGGGAACTTCCTTTTTAGGTTGGAGAAATAATACACACCAATCACCTAATATAAAGGGTACAAAATAAATAGGTGCTCTCTTTAGTTCTGAGCTTCTCTTTCCTCAGCTGTAAAACAGGATTAATACCTATCCCCCATATTGTTGGATGATTCAGTGATTCAGAGGTTCTGGATTTAGACTGCCTAGGTGTCAGTCCCAACGCCTATCTCTGTGACCTTGGACAAATCTATCTGTGCTTTCATTTCCTCACCTGTCAAAAGAAGCTAGTAATAGTGTTGTTATGAAGATTAGAGAGTTAAGCATATAAAATGCGTAGAAGAGCTTATAGTAAGCACTCAATACGTGTTATTATTATTTAAACAGGAAGATGGGTGTGTGGACCTTTTCCCCATCATATCCCCAGCATCAAGCCCAGAGCATGGTACATAAAGGTGCTCAGTAAATGGTCACTCTGTTACTTCCACTCTACCACTTGCCATAGCCAAAAATGGAGTTCTCTGTGTACAAGACTAAGTGATTGATTGAGTTATGTAAGATCACAGGTGCAATAAACTTGCCAGGTAGATAGTGTTTGCCACATCCTGCCTGGGCAATGTCTGCTTCACTTTTTTTTTGCTGGGGAGGCCAGGTTATTTACCCCAGAAATATCTGAGTCATCTTTTGCTTGGAGCATCCTCTTTAGAAGACCTGCCTGGCCCCAAAGGGGGTGGTGGTAGGGGGCGGGGGGCACACAATCACTTAATGAGGTTGTTCTGAGGATTAAATGCACTAACATGTATAAAGTGCTTGAACTGCTGTGTATATTCATCTGTGACTTGTTTTTCTCATTCATCGTTATGTTTTGCTGGCCACCTATATTATTGTTGCATGCAATTGTATGCAACAATTCGTGCTTATTCTTGCTGTGTAATATTACATTTTGTGAATATCCCACTTTATTCATCTTAATGTTCAGGAGCATTTAGGTAGTTTCTAGTTTTTTTGTTATAAAATGTAATTAAAGAAAATGAAAATGTCCCATAAATTCTAGAATCAGCTTTTCAAGTTACACCAAGTTACATGCACACACACAATGCACAATGTTTGGGATTTTTATTGGAATTACATTCAATCTGTAAATCAATTTAAGGAGAGTTAACATTTTTTGCAATATTATCTTCTGAAAACATGGTATGTCTCGTCATCTATTTAAACTATTTTATTTTTTACATATATTTTTATTGATTTCAGAGAGGAAGAGAGTGGGAGAGAGAGACAGAAACATCAGTGATGAGAGAGAACCATTGATCAGCTCTCTCCTGCACACCCCAGGCATTTGCCCTGACCAGGAATCAAACCCTGACCTCCTGGTTATTAGTCGACGCTCAATCACTGAACCACTATTTTCATGTCATTTGAGTAAAGTTTTGTTATTTAAAAGGGCTTGCTTAAGCCTTGGCCAGTGAGCTCATTGGTTAGAACATCGGCCTGCACACCGATGGGTCATGGGTTCAATTCCCAGTCAAGGGCATGTACCTGGGTTGCAAGTTTGATCCCCTGCCCCATTACAGCACGCATGGGAAGCAACCAATCAATGTCTCTCTCATATTGATGTTTCTCTCCCCCTCTCTCCCTCCCTTCCACTCTATCTAAAAGCAATGGAAAAATATCCTTGAGTGAGGATTAACAATAAAAATAAAAGGGCTTGCACATCATCATAAGAAATTTTTTGCTTATTTTTGTTGCTATTTTCAATAATACATTTTTAGAAAAATTACATTTTATTGGTAATGTATACAAATATAATTGGTTTGTTTTATATTGCATTTATAACAAACCTAATCTATCATTACTTTTTTTAAAATCCTCACCCGAGAATATGTTTATTGATTTGAGAGAGAGAGAGAGAGAGAGAGACATTGATGTGAGAAACATCCATGGGTTGTCTCCCATCTGCACCTGGACCAGGATCAAACCCACAACCTTTTTGGTGTGTGGGACAGTGTTCCAACCAACTGAGCCAGCTGGCCAGGGCTAATTTTGATAAGTTGTTTGTAAATGAGTTTTCTTTATTCCCCTCCATTCCTTATATTTTTAGTCACCTTTTCTTATATTACTGCATTGTTAGGACCTCCTACCTCCAATACACATACGTCATTTTCAGTACAATGTGAATACAAATGTTAATAATGTACATTAGGTTGGTCCTAATTTTAAAGGGAATACTTTAAAAGTTTCACCTTTGAGTAAGTTTGCTGTAGTTTTTTTATGGTTACCATTTAACAGGCTAAGGAAGTTTATTCTTTTTTTTTTTTTCCTTTCCACAGTGCAGGGTTTAGTAGGGGTGACTCCCCAATTTTCCAATAGGATTATTTTCAAACTAGTGGCCTGGTGCACAAAATTCGTGCACGGGAGGGGGTTGTCCCTCAGCCAAGCCTGCACCCTCTCCAATCTCGGACCCTTTGGGGGATGTCGACTGCTGGTTTAGGCCTGATCCCAGGATGTCTGACAGGCCTGATCCCAGGATGTCTGACAAGCCTGATCCCAGGATGTCCCTGGATGTCCAGCAGGCCTGATCCCAGGATGTCCGACTGCCGGGATTGGGCCTAAACCGGCAGTTGGACATCCCTCTCACAATCCTAGACCACTGTCTCCTAACTGCTCGCCTGCATGCCTGCCTGATTGCCCCTAACTGCTTCAGCCTGCCAGCCTGATTGTCCCCTAACAGCTCCCCTGCCAGCCTGATTGATGCCTAGCTACTCCCCTGCCGGCCTGATCATCCCCAACTGCCCTCCCCTGCTGGCCAGATCACCCCCAAGGCTTTTATTAGTATAGATGAGTAGATGCTGGATTTTATTAAAGGTGCTTTCTGTATCCACTGAGGGCTTGACAGGCTAATTTTACACTTTAATCTGTTAAGCTAAATTAAATTAGAGGTTTTTTATTGTGTTGAACTAATCTTGCAGTCTGATGACAAATAAAAACTGATTGGATTTAGTTCATTAATATTTTGTTCAGGAATTTGGAGTTTTGTTCATAAATGAGATTGTCTTGTAATTTTTTCATTCTATATTTCCCTATTTGATTTTGGTGTCATAAAACGAAATGGGAACTATTTTCTGTCATTCTATTTTATGACAGAGATTGTCCAAGGAATTATCAGTTCTTGAAATATTTGGCACAATTTTCAGATAAAAACATTGGGGCCGCCCTAGCTGGTTTGGCTCAGTGGATAGAGCATCAGCCTGTGGACTGAATGGCCCTGAGTTTGATTCTGATCAAGCCCGGGCTGTGGGCTTGATCTTCATTAGGGGGCATGCAGGAGGCAGCCAATCAATGATTCTCTCTCATCATTGATGTTTTTCTCTCTCTCTCTCCCTTTACCTTCTCTGAAATCAATAAAAATATATTTAAAAAAAAAAAAAACATTGGGGCCTGGCATCTTCTTTGTAAGAAATATTTTATTTTTAATTTAAAAAATATTTTTTATTGATTTCAGAGAGGAGGGGAAAGGGAGAGAGAGATAGAAACATCGGTGATGAGAGAAAATCATTGATCAGCTGCCTCCTGCATGCCCCCCACTGGGGATCAAGCCTGCAACCAGGGCATATGCCAGGATTGGAAGTCGAACTTTGACATCCTGGTTCATAGGTCGACACCCAACCACTGAGCCATGCCGGCAAGGCAGAAATATTTTAACTGATACAATCTGTTAAATAATTACTGGATCACTCCAGTTTGATATTTCTACTTGTCAGTTT